GAGCCGCGCGAGCGGGGGGGCCCCTGCTGCAGCTGGACGACTTCCCCTCCTCCAAACAGTGTCCTGAGACCTTCTGCCCAGAGCCCCCCAAGGGAAGCCTGCCTTCTGCCCTGGGAGGGTTAATGGCAAATGAAAACCCACTTTCTTTCTATGATTCTATAAAATGAAGCGAGAGAATATTCAAAGTGTGATAGCAGTTGGATTCCTAGAGCAGCACCTTGTCTGAGAACGCTGCCACGTACATGGGCTTCCATGGGCTTCACATCGTACCAGCAAAATAAACCCTCAGATTGAATGTGCACCCGCTCGCAGAACATCGCCCTGGCAGGCAGCTCCATCTCTTTGGACCCCTGCAAGTCTGCCCCGCCTGGCTCCGGGCTCGCTCTCTACCGTCGCTTCGCCGGGTAGTTGTGAGGGTCAGGGTCCCGGGCGATAGTCGTTAGAGCGATACTTCATTTCGTTCTTAACCAAGAAATTAAGCGCTGTGCAAATAAAGCAGAATTTAGGTTTTAGGCCTTTGAATCCTGAAAAGCTGTTGCAAATTAATCCTCCTCGCCCTTGCCCAGATGCACTGTGGCACTGGGAGCAGGGGCTGGAGGGGGGCGGAAAAGCAATACAGGAGGACTTGTTTTCTTATGAGCTGAATTCCAGCTTTGCACTCCAAATCCCGGTTTTTATAGACTTTTCCGCTGAAGTCTGCTCCTGCCCGGGGCATGCCTGTGTAACCGCTCCTCTCTCTGCATTCCTCAGATTCTTCTTCCCGCTGGATTGAAGAAGGGGTCTGAGGTCCCTGGTGGAGAAAAGGAGGCGAGAAGGAGGAGGAGGAGGTTTCCCTTGGACTCTAAGCCACCAAACCAGGAAGCCAAACCATGTCACAGGTCATACACAACCACGTGTTGCGTGTTGGACAGACCGTGTGCGTTTCCTCACAGGAGGAAAGCAAGAGCTTGCACCCGGCGGGGTACCCGGGCTGCTCGGCGCTGCCGAGGCAGTACGCCTACTACTCGACGGAGGGCTGGGCTGACCCGTCCGCGATGGTGCACACCAGCGCACGCCGGCTTCCCAGCGGAGGGCTCTACGGAGCCCACCCCGTGTTTGAGCGTGTGGCTGCTCACGCGCAGGGGAAGGGGCAGCAGGACACCTCTTCGGAGACACCCGCTGCCCCGTGTCACCCAAAGGAGGAGGAGGACAGCGGCGCGGATCCTGAGGCTCACCTGGTGTCTCCTACCTTGGACATATCAATAGAGAGTCTCAACCAGCTGATCCTCGAAATCGACCCGACGTTTCAGCCGCTCATGTGCAAGCCGGTGAAGGACGGGGTCCAGGCTGCTTCTCGGGGCGACGCTGCTGCCGCCAAGAAACAAGACCCAGAGGCAATAGGTGAGGCAAAAGGCGCTGGTCGTGCGGTGGAGCCAGCGCAGCTCAGACCCAGAGAAAACCGTTTGCAACAGGCAGAGTGAAAGTCCAGGGCAGAGAGGTTGGCCCCACTCCAGCCCCAGCCCGATCTGCTGCAGGCAGGACGGGGGCCTGGGCTCCTGTGGAGAGCTGGAAAT